AGAGAAGAGCAACAAAGATGATTAGGGGACTGGAGGCTAAAACATATAAGGAACGGTTGCTGGAATTGGGTATGTCTAGTTTAACGAAGAGAAGGATGAGGGGGGACATGATAGCAGTGTTCCAATATCTCAGGGGCTGCCACAAAGAAGAGGGAGTCAAGCTATTTTCCAAAGCGCCTGAAGGCAGGACAAGAAGCAATGGGTGGAAACTAACCAAAGAGAGAAGCAACCTAGAACTAAGGAGAAACTTCCTAACAGTTAGAACAATTAACCAGTGGAACAACTTGCCTCCAGAAGCGGTGAATGCACCAACACTGGAAGTTTTTAAGAAGAGACTGGAGAGCCATTTGTCCGAAATGGTATAGGGTTTCCTGCCTGAGCAGGAGGTTGGACTAGATGACCTCCGAGGTCCCTTCCAGCTTTATCATCATCATTATTATTATATACGCTTTTTCAGTTCTCCTATTGATATTATCAGAACAATGTTTAATTTATAGGGTTGTTCTCCATAGAACTTGAAGGAACAATCTTCCTAGAGCTCCTGGCACTTGGAATATGAACAGCTGACCCTTTCCCCCCCTCTCCCCAATGATTTCTACATGATATCCATTTCCTTGCCCTCCTGCATGGGTGTAGAAAAGTGGTGAAGAGTGACTTCCACAACTAATTCTAAACAAGGATATCTTACACTTGTGAGTTGGACTCCCTATCTTGAACTTGGAAAAGACATTCCAGTTTTCACACTTTCAGATGTCAGATGCTACAAAAAAAACAACAACAACCAACAATCACACTGGGAAGCAGTTCCCAGTTATTCAGCAGACTTTGGTGGTGCCAGCCATCAGGAAGCACATCATTTATCTGCAATGATCCTGAATGGACTTGTCTACAAATATACTGGGGGAAAAACAGAAATATCATAAAAAAAACCTGCTGTGCCTTCTTTGTTACCGGTTCCAAAATGTTTCTGCTGGACTGACAATGCAAACATCTCATTTATTTATAAAGACATGGTTTAGGGACATACAGGGGGGGGGAGTCAAAACCTGCAAGGTGGCAGGCATATCACCTTGCCAGCTGTCTTGCAGATTTTAAATCTCTTTTCAGAAACAAGACTGTTTGGGGATCAATTTATTTGTGCCAAACGTGTTATTTTTTTATCATCCTGGTTCATTTTCTCTTCCAGCTCTCTTTAGGAATGCAAAGCACAAATACATCTGAAGGATAAACATTAAGTCAAACAGTGTGTGTGTGTGTTCTTTTAGTTGCATTTATAAAGATCCTCTCTGCTCTTCCTTTTTTTTCTCTCTCTCCATTTCAGACACTTTGCTCTTATCATTTGGAGAGATTTATTTTTCCCTCCATCTTCGTTATTCACACCAAACAATTTAGGTAGTGGTTTGTAATGTAATAGCTGTATAATTTTCACCTACTTGAATTCCATCTAAAACTGACCGTTTCCTCTTTTTGTTTCGCATTCAATTCCCTTTAAATTAGATGTACTTGGAAGGCAAGTGCATAATATCCCAGTAATGAAAACTTTTACTTTTCATTCACTTGCAGCTGCTTTGCGTCACAGCAATCGAAAGCCCCCTAACCATTTAATTTTCTTTTCTGCAGATACAAGAAAAATCTGAAAGCGCTCTACATTGTACATCCCACCAACTTCATCAGGATCATTTGGAACATTTTCAAACCTCTGATGAGGTACAGTCTGGTTTCTTTTTAGCAGAAGGAGAGCTAAGTCCTTTCTCTTTTACCATTCTTCAGGGGATGTCTAGAAACATCTATTATAGAAAAAGAAAATTGAAATAGTTGGGGGAGTGAGTAATCTTTAAATGATACAGATGGACGGGCTCCTTGTGGTTTTCCGTCCAAGTTTCCAATTAAACCTGTTTAGACTATATTTTTTTTCCCCTGTTTGGATTGCCTGAGCCTTGATAGATCACACCAATTACATTTGGCTTTTGCTTCCTGGCAATTATGAATGGGATTATCCCCAGAAACCATTTGAATAATGGAAGCACCAGTTCTGATTTTTCAGTATGGTGGCTCTGAGGTTCTGTAGAGGCCACTGAGGTTCACCTGAAAAAGTGTGTTGTAATT